CAGATGAAAAAAAGTAAAATTGAAGAAATTATATTTTTCTATTATGAATTGTCGAGCCGTGAAATCTCGTAAAAGAAACCGAGTGGTGTAGCGTTACACGCTTGACTGACAGCGAGCGAGGATAACATAGGCGTAGGACCATCTATACTGACACTTGTAGAATCCAAACTGACTGACACTTGCAGAGAATTTACTAGCGGACAAATTAAAAATGCCAATTAATTTTTTAAATATTTGACGAACCTATGTGACGAACGCAGATCAACTAATTACTCGAATTTTAAGAACGTGGAACAGGTACAGAAGGAAGTAAACAACATACGCGATAATCATTGAAAGCAGGTAGTGGATAAAGTAATAAAAATTGAAGCAGAATATAGGGTAATTTCGGGAGAGATGGACCAGGCAAGTATTATCTACATTATCCGCCAGATATAGAACAAAAAACACTGAGAGCCACACTCGATCGCTTTCGGTAAAACAAATATAAAGCAAAAGAATACTGACGCGTTCCACATATGGCGGATAATGTAGGAAATACTTGCCTGGTTCGTCTCTCCCGCCGGTCCATCTCTCCCGGAATTACCCTAGGTGAAAACGAAGGCTATTATAAGAATTTGCAGCCTGTGCATTCTCATGTTTCTGTCAATTTCTTTGTCAGAACACACGAACACACGTATCGATAAAAACTGGAGAAGATAAGGACCGGAAACCTCACTAAGGACCGCATGAAATATGCCTTAGCTTTGATTCAGTTCTAATCGAAAAACGAAGAATGCAACATTCGTTCCCTGGGTGTTGGCGTATCAATCAGTGCCGCTTCTTAGTGTTTTAATTTACGATCACGCTATATTTCTTCCACCGACTATACTTAACGAGAACACCTACTCTATGAATCATTATTATTTATGGGTAATGAATTGCTATGTGGAATTATGTGAACATAATTAATTGTAAAATTCAGAATATCGATAATTTTAACAAAATATTCAGAACAATAATTATGCCAATTTTTCACTGAAATATTATTTATTAGCATTTATGAGCACTAAATCTCAGTAAAGCAGAATATTTTTATTTTGTACTATGAGATTTCTCTAGCAACTACTTACACATCGTTACCAATCGTCTTTTACACTTCTGAAGACATGCTTTTTAGGCACATTTAGAATTTTCCTTTATCTCTAGCATAGTTTGAAAAGTGGGTTCTTCTAATGAAATCTTTAGCCTGAGAAACAGAAAATAAGGGACATAAAACCAAGTGAAATGAGCATGATAGATGGAAAATAAAAGTGACTGTTTTTCACTAAAAATTGGTAGTTCAACGAATTCCATTTGAAAAATTGCCGAGGCAAAGAAATTCGAATTACAAAAACTACTGTAAATCTCAAATGGAATGACTTTTTGTTAAAAATTGTACGCCAGTTAAAACATCATTGATTCCCTCCCTATATTGTGCCATCAATTGTTCTCTTCACTATGAGATATTGTCGTACATGCACGGGCCATGTATTTTTTCAACCTCAAACCTCGAACACGTTTTCTTCATACTTGTCTAGAAAGTTTTACCGAATTCAGACAGTTACCGATAAATTTTACAAAGAAATCACCAATGAAAAGGACTCCTCTTCATCTCCAGGTATTTTTTCGTCAAATCTCCTATGAAAACCAGAGCAAAAAATTACTCACAATTCTGCTACGAGGACGAAGTTGGAAATTAGAAAATCTCCGAATGGAGACATTCGAAGTGAAACATGCGTATACTGTTCAAGTAAATCTGCCTATCGAGATAACCGCATGCATAAACGCAGACACGGAAGGAAGCGTTCCACGTTTTATCAGTGCACTCGTGGCAGACTCTGTTCGGTGGCACTTGTCGGTTAAGCCTGGATACTTCACCTCGAGGGTCTCTTGTCATTAAAAAATTGTAAGGCAAGTGAACGGTGCCGTTGAGTAGCAACAATTAGTTATCTGCCGCAACGAGCGTGAACCCTCACCGCGACCTTCGCGTTTACAGTAGATCTTCTGTCGAAGTGACGACTATTCGTCGATTACCGACAATAACTCCACACGATCGTCGTGGAAACATCGTTTCTTTTACGACGATCGTAGAATGGATAACGGATGTACCTACGATAATTCCATGGGATTTGCATTATCGATGAACATGTTACGAACAGTCGAAGGTTCGGACTGCCCCGTCCTTTATGTCAAGTATAACCCGCGGTGCTTGATTTGAAATTTCAGAACGGTACATAGTTTTATAGTTTCATTTTTCACACGATGAAAATTGATTTATTTAAACAACGTACGTACACAACCAAACGAATTGAATTATAAAATAATTTGTAAAATGATTCTCTTTAAAAATACTACGATAATAGCTGGTGTAACAAAATATATTCTGTATAGAAAAAAATAAG